CAAGGATATTTGGTATGCAGCCAGGAGGCAGCCTGGGATCGAACCACCGACCTTCTGATTAGCGGCTGACCTGCTCTGCCACTAATCACCCTGAGCTACACCCACCCACCCCATTGAACATCTGTGGAATCTATTAATGTCAAATCTAGCCTTTCTTTAAGAACATAAGCAAGAACATAAGCAAAGTGCTTTTATATTTAACCAGTGTTTCTGTTTAATTACATTGTAAATAATAATATTAACATTAATATTAATATTAAATTTTTTTTGTTAAAACGTGTTTAAAAAAAAGTTTTGTTGTGAAAACTATAATCCAGATAAGTGGCCTGATAAATGGTTAACGTCTAGGTTGGCTTTATAACTGAGAATCAAGTAATATAGCTTGTCCTTCTAAAGCAGGGGTCGGCAACCTTAGGCACGCGTACCACAGTTGGCACGCAAAGGGTTAACTGATGGCACGACCAATGCTGGACTGGCCATCGGGCATTTGCTCGGTGGCCCGGTGACTTTTTTTTCCCTTTGTAACGGTATAAACAATGAAGGGTGGTGGTTTGGCCAGATGCTGGTCGGTGTGTAAAAATAACTCAGTTGTTTGGTGGTGGCTATGGTTTCTATACAGCTGGGTGGGTGCTTTGATGTTTCTGATACCATAGTGAACTGTATTTTATTCATAAGGTTAGTTAGTGGAGTTGCCTGTAAAAAGATGGAATCATCCCTCATTCAGAGAAAATATCACGCGTTTCGTATTAAGGTGAAAAGGAACACAGTTTGTCCTGTACTTCCGCTAGAATGAAAAAAAGACACAAAGCTGGATTTATTCTGTCATTACGCTGCACAGCTGCCTCTTCTCCTCTCATTCTCTCCCCTCTCTCTCCTGTTGCTACTTACATCATGAAATGATCAATGATCAGCTGATCGGCTTTTCTCTCGTGTTTATTTATTGCCCACTTTGCGCCAGAAAGAAGAAACCAGCGGATGTCGCGCTAAACAACAGCAGCACGTTTAAGCTTGTTAAGCTGTTGTTAGAATTTATTTAATATTGCTTTCTATTATCAGCTGATGTTTGCTGGAGCCACCCCTGTAAAAGCTGCTGGTCATGATGGTTTGTATATCTGGTGAGAGGGAGACATGAAGATGAAACCAGCAGATGTCCTTACTGAATCACCAGAACAGGTGATGGAGAAACAGGTTTACCTTTTAGGTGACAGGAATGAGTTGAAGGGAAGTTATGAGCTGTTTTTGAGAGAAAAATAACACCAGGATCCTTTTTTTATGTAGCTGACAGCTGGTAACTGTGCAGGAGCGGGTCTAGCAAAGTTTTGCCAGGGGGGCAGGTAGGGCATTAACAGGGAAAGGGGGGCACAAAGAAATACTTTCTTATTCTCATTTAAAATTTCTGGCTTTTATTAAATAATTATTTGAAGCTTACAACCAAAGTTTTTATCTGACAAAAAATGTATAGAAATCATACATATAACATCGAAGCAGCTGGAATCCATAGATGCGCGTGTTCATGGATCTTGCATTTTCACCTGCTGGACATCACTACCTGACAAGTTTAACTGTCTTCAGAACATTGCATAGGCCTTATTGACAGTATTTGGGTCTACATACCTGTGTGAGCAGATTTTCTATCACATGAGTGTCCTCGGGTAGCCGTCTGAATGCTGGACACTCGGAGACCTGTGTCTCTGAGTGGGAGACCAGAGATCACATTAACATGTGTATCTCTGTATTAACAAACATGCCATATTGGCCCAGTTTATTTTTCTTATCATTGTTGTGAGGAGACCATAAATAGCATTTGTATTTTCTGTATTTGCTGTTATGGAGTTCTTCTTATGGATAAAAAGTGTCTTTTTTTTGTTTCAAAATAGCTGATAACTATTCACTGATAGCTGCCAACATCAGCGAACAAATATAATTCTATAAAGTTGTTCTATATAGTGTGTAACTACTCATATAGAGCGTTATTAAATTTATTGCTAATACAATCATATGGCACACTGACTTCTGAGGAAATTTGAAATGTCACTCGCCATCAGAAAGGTTGCCTACCCCTGTTCTAAAGAAACAGCTTGTCTCGTCAGTTCAGGGTCTCCTGTTCGTTTTTCCCAGTGTGCACGGCTGATGTCAGATCTGAATCGCTGCCTCACTGTTTTCCTGTGAGGCAGTGTTAAATTACACAGTTGAATCATAAGAAACATTATGTTACATATAAACCCTGCCATATGTTAGATTTGGTCATTTTGCTTATAAGAAACTTTATATATTGGAAGTTAGCTTTTAACAAGCATGTAATGATTATATTTAAATTAGGTGGTCTTTTTTTAAACACATATCTCTTTAGGCCTAAACTGACAGTGCCAATGCTACACATTCAGACACAGTAGTAGATGCTGTTTTTAACCCTTTAAGACCTACCATAGAACCAAGTCCGCCAGAGCTTATATTGTATTTTTACATGCTTTAGTGCCATTTTTTGGGAGCATTTCAAGTTGATATACAACAATTATAGGCCAAATTTTAATAATATGTATGCATTAAGTGTATAGTAATTACATAAATTGCAAAAAAGTGCAATAAACTACAAAAAAATGGAAAATTGTTTTTGTTTTTTTAACTTATATTTCTAGTTAGAGAAATTTAAGAGGCTTATCCCTCAAAGCTGTAAATACAAAAAAGTTGCAGAAAATAGTTTCCCACCGCAGGAAATGTATTTTTAGTGTCTTCATAGTTTTATTTTTGAAATACACCAATTTTTATATACTGCAGGAAAAACGAAAATAAATGTTATAATTGTTATGCCTTTTGGTCAAAAGTCAGTAGTTAGTGCATAATCTGATTAAGTTACGCAAGCAAGGTAATAAATAAGTTCAAAGTTAAGAAATATTATAAGTGATTCATGCTAAAAATAATTAAAATGTGTGGGTTCGAAATTTGCTCAGAGTGAGACATCGTTATCGCAAGCGATCTTTGTATTGTATGTGCGGAAATGGAGGCAAGGGAGCGCTTTGATCATTAATCTATCTTTGACGTATTTTCTCCAGTAATGCTGGTAACCCTAAACCTAACCCTAAGTGCTTCGGCAGTATTAAAACTGTGAATAAGCTCATGTACACGCTTAAAGTGCCCTACACGCTTGTACCTTGGGAAACGTTCGTCTTTGTGAGTATTAATGTGTTCAGAAACAACTTTTATAAGTGTTTACATGGAGTGAACTGTGATGCTAATGTAACGCACGTGTTAAGCTAGGCTAATCATTAAGATGTGTATTAGCTAGCAACCTATTTTCACTTTCTGTATATTTCAGTTACAAATAAGAAATAGCAAAGAGAGGCCTTGAGAGAGGATAAGGCTTAAAAAGATCTTCATTAAAATCAAGAAAAGCAAGCCTTGTGTGGAGATCTCGTCTATTTTGTTTGCTGGCTGTCTAGCTTCACATGGTTCACATGTAGTGAGGGCAGCACAATAATACAAATTTGCAAAAAAACAGCATATGCATCAAAATAAACTATTTCCAGCAGTGCAATTTGAGTCCTAAGCATCCCAGAAACGACACAGAAAATCATGAAGTCAAACATAACTTTTAAAAACACCAGTATAGGCTCATAAGGCCCTGATGGTAAAAAATTAAATTTCTGCAAAATTATGTCACTTCCGGTGTTGGCAGGTCATGGTGGACATGCGATTGTTCGCGCTGATGGACGTAGGAAGTGTTACAAACAGCTGATCGGATCGGCAAAGTGTGTTTCCAGGGTATTACGTTTTTGTTGCTGCAAGTGCTTTTTATGCAGTTTTTGCAAAGCTGCATGTGGAAGAAAATTGTGACCTAGGACAAGCTGATGGCATAAGATGTAAGTACAACTCCTCCGGTTTCATATGCAAAAAAAAAAATTGTGCTAGCTTACGTGGTTGCAGTACTACGGGGATTTAAAAATAGTTACGCAAAACGCAGCGTGCCCGCTTCGACCGGCTTTAAAGGGTTAATACTATATTTGTTAGTCTAATTTGGTTGTATGGGGTCTACATTGACCCTCTGTGTTGTAAGTTATTATGACTGCACAGTCATTAAGGATCAAATCAGCTTCTAAAAAATGTTCTGTTTTTTCTCCCTCTGCTTGCTTCTTACTGTCTTTGAGGCTCGGGACCAGCACTCCTGCTGTTGGACAGAAAGACATAAACTCTTTTGGTTTTCCAATATATTAGCAATTGTCAGTGACATTTATATTAATCAGGCTGAACTTTAATCATAATTTAGATCAGTCTGTTTTACTTATTGTTTTATTTGTGCTTTGGTTTGGGGAAGTTGTTTCTTTACTGATCTTTTCCTGTCTTCTGTTATTAGACTTGAGATATGACTGCACTATGCTTTTGCTGTTGACTCCAGTTAATTCTACAAGACATGCTGTGTAAACAAACAACAACAGTTTGGTCTGCATTTCTTGAAAGATCACATCCCCCAAACTTAGTTTAGAGGGTCTACACTGTATATAGTGAAGTCTGCAAGTTTTCTAACAGCAAAATTTGTTTTGTGCCCAAATCATTTTGCATGTCATTAGAATGAAAGTTATTGGCCATGTTTGCATAGCCGTTTTTAAAATGATGCTTTCATGACATTATTATATGTTGGGTGGTGGTCAGGGCTATCTAGACTGACAAGTTGGACATTGAATGTCACCTCTCTGGTGGGGAGGGGGCCTGAGATTGTCTAAATTGGAGTCTGTTCTATACCAAATGCAGAAAAATTGTTTTAATAAAGCAATTAAATTTGTGTTCCAAAAAATATGATTGTTTGCTTGCAGGACACCAGGAGCGATGAGTCCTCCGTCACAGATGGTTTCGTCAGTGAAGATGGTCACCTGCAGGTTCACGCTCATTGCATCTCCAACCTACATCCACTGCCACTGTACTTAAGGGAAGTTAAAGACTTTCTTCTGCACTTAAATTTGGATCACCTCGTACCGTGATAGTCATTCAGGCAGTAATGCCTGGACTAGAAACAAGCCATCCTTAAAATATTACAACGTTCCAGCTCCTGTGTTGGAATGAAAAACTTGTTGTTTAAATCAGAGACTGCATTTGTGACAGAACAATAAATGTATTTTATTTCGGTTATATAAGTAATGTAAGTACAAAACAAAGTTGTGGTACACTGAAAAAAAGGGATTGGCCAACTCTTGGATTTACCTAAGCATCTTGCGTGTATTTAACATAAGTCCCTCATGCTTTAAAGTTAAGTGTAACTATATAGTGTAGAAACTACATGATATGCAGAGAGGCTAGATTAAATTGTTCATATCATGTTCGAGTGAAGTAAGTCAATAACTTACTGCGACACCGCACGGGATTTCAGTCTCGCACGCTTTGGATTTGTTCTTGTTGAGATGACATGATACAATCTAGTAAGAGTGGTTAGTTGCTGAACTCATGAAATTCACAAGATCGCACGCGATGTCAAACTGCAGGAAAATCACTGGAGTTATAAGAGGCAGACAACGACACACACCACATGCATGCTATTGCTATTTATTGTGGTTTAACCTGTCAAGGACAAAAATGTACAAAAGAATTCTGCATCAAGCTTTGAAATCATAGCTTTTCTGCTTTTGTTAAGTCTGGATTGGTGGCATGGTGGTTAGTGCTGTTGCTTCACGTTAAGAAGGTCCTGGGTTCAAATCCACAATCTGGCTAGTTTGCACTGGGTTCTCTGTGGGTATTCTGGTTTCTTCCCACAGTTAAAAGTCAAGCAGTTGTTAGAGTTAGGTTAATTGGTGATTCTAAATTACCTGTGAATGTAAGTGCAAATGGTGGTTTGTGATAGACTTGTGAGTTGTCCTGCCTTGTAACCTATCACTTCAGGGTTATTTCCCAGCCCTCCTGCACCAGAATAAGGTTAGGAGGATGGTAGCTATTGTAGATCCATTCAATCTTTATGGTAACCAGACTCTAGACTTTGTTGAACATTATGTAATATGAAGACAACATGTAGTATTTAAGTGACCAAGTAGTACTGGGGTAAAAGTTATTGAATAGTGTTGAAATAAAATGACAAAATTGTGAAGGATTAAAATATTCCAAGAGCTCAACATACTTCATCTAAACATGTTTCAATCGTGTTTTATGAACACAAAATGCACAGGTTTACTGAATATGAAAAAGTTGTGTTGATTTAACTCAATTGTTTAAGTTTCTGCCAAAGCAAACCATTTGTGTGCAACCAATGTCCACTATTGAATCAAGTAAATCCAACATGGCCTTTTTTTCAGTGTAGGCCTAAACTTTTCAGAATAATTAAATCTGAGACTATGTTTCATTGTAAGAATATAACAGTGATGGCAATATAATTGTTTGTTGTTCAGTAGAACAGTGTCCAGTATGTTGGCTGTTATACTTTGTTGTGTTTGAAAATAAAAGTTGGGCTGATTTTAACATCATTACAAAAAGTGTTGTTAATTATTTTTAATCATATTCATGGTACCACAAATTGTTTTTAATTTAGTTGAACTTGAATTTTTTGTCTGTAGGTAAACAATTAGTATTGTACAGTCAGAAATATCAAGTTATTCTTAATACTGCAAAACTTGCAATGAATAAGTTGCCCTAACTTAATTATCTTAAGTAAAATGTTACTAAATTTTTTTGAGGCAACGAGTTTACATAGTTTTTTGAGTTCTATGAACTAATTGGATTTTACAGTGTGTAGCAGTTTCAACACGTTCTCACTCCCTAAGCGTAATATTTTACGGTAGGTAACAAATCATCAACATTTTACACTTTTGGGTACCCAACACGTTCCTAATGATAAGATCGGAAAAATGGGAAAACACGAGAACCGTTTGGACTCAACCTACACATGTCTGTTCTTTTTCTTAAAATTGCTCTGGGAAACAATATTTCACATAATTAAAGTGCTGGTTAAGGTTAGAAATAAGGTTGGGAAAAAGGTCAGGGTTAAGGATAAGGTGAGGTTTGTGGCTGGAATACATGGCTGGAATGTCTACCACCACGGGACCATTCTGCTGGATTTCATCCATAATCTGGCGCATACCATAAGAACGAGGAAGGTCACCTTTCAAGTTCCTCAGGAACGCCGTGGAACGTGACAAAACATTGGTATTATACCCTTCAGGAGTGAGAACAGGCTGAGCGGTTTATATCTGGACAAAGGTGGAATGAGCCCAACAGAACTCAGTCCCATAGCTTTGGTTAGAAAGGAACAAACTCAGCAGTATACTGCTACTCAAGCTGATTCAAGTCGTGTAACCTGTGAAGACACTGTGGTCCACGAAGTTCACATGGTATGGCCTCAGATTGGAACAATCTCCCCAGATCACTATATAATCGGCTGGTAAATATATGACTGTGAATTTCTTTTTCTCTTGTTGTGTTTGTTTGAACCTGCTTCCTGTTGGCTTCAGCTGTTTGGAGTTTCCATTGCAAAATTTCTACATTCTCAACCTTTTTCAGCTCTGAACAGAGTATGAAATACTCAATGATTGATGATGAATAATTTCAAGCACACATTTTGTCTAATAAACTTACATCTTTCATTCCTTTTACAGATTGGTGAACTGTGATGTATCAGAGATCAGCTGTGATTATCTGGCAGCAGCTCTGAAGTCCAACCCCTCCCACCTGAGAGAGCTAACCCTGAATGTCTATAGGTCCTCCACTAAGTGTAAGCTGCAGGATTCAGGAGTGAAGTATCTGTGTGGTTTTCTGGAGAGTCCAAGATGTCGACTTGAAACTCTGAGGTCAGTCACCATGTTTTAGTTGTGCTGAGATGAATATGATTGAAAGAAGGCTGATATTATACTGATCCACACTGAGGATCTTTGTCAGGGTCCTGGGTCTCCTGACCCAGAATTTTTTGTTCTTTGTGATTTTTATATTTTGTGGAGTTTGTTACGGATTCAAATATTGGGGATGGATACAAGAGGAAAACCAAAAATAACCACACTGGTCCGGCCGGGTCAAGTCAAACGATGATTTAATGAACACACGCGTGGGAGATGGACACCATACAGCAGACAGCATCAGATCTCAAAATGGTGGAGCCTTGATCAAACTCTTATAGCCTCTAGTGGCCCCCACCTAATCATAAAAGGCTAAACATTCACATTCTTTCTCACACAGCGCCTAAGCTACGA